GGGCAGATTGACGCTTCGTCCCAGCTTGATGTCATCTGCAGACTTACTGAGGAACAGCCTATTTCCTGAGCTCAATGTTAGGCAGATCATAGGGTGGCATAGTGAGGATATCTGGGGCAGAGAAGTTGGTGGTTCTAGCTGAGCTACTGAAAAATGAAATGGAGAGTAATGAATGGATTTTTGTGCCTCAGCAATCAGCAGCTGGCAAATCAGCTTCTTGGAGCACTGCCAAGCAGCAGTTTACAACAACCCTGCAGCTGCTCTAAAATAGGCTAGAACGCAACTGGCATGAAGCCACTTTCAGTTTTGGACAAGGATTCAGCCATCAAATTGGCAAACAGATGTGCTGGGATTGTGGCTTCGTTTGCTCATGTCTAACCCTCACAGAATGCAGTTGGTACCTACAAGTTCAATGCAGAGAATTTTGCATGAAACTTTTACAGGATAAATAGGTTAAAAATAAAAGTTCAAGTTTTTCTGAAGCATTGTTATTGTTGATGCTGTATATCGTGTTTCTGCTATTCTGCATTTCTTTCTGGGATTATTTTCTTATTCTGAATAATTTAGAAATGGACCAGCAAGAAAACTCAGTTGGACTAAGCATTTTCAAGGAGCAAATTAAAATGCAATTATTCTGAACTGTATATACTGTAGTTTCATATAAACGTTTGAGTGATACTGAAAGAAAACTTGCAAGACGTTCAAAGTAGGATTAAATGTTATTGCGTGCTTTTTCTGTCATTTTTTGAGTGAGAAAAGTATTATTCTTGGAGAGAGGGGAGGATTTTTTGTTGATTTTTGACTCCTCGTGGTCCACTGTTCTCTTTTCCTTATCAGAAGCTGTTCTTCAGTAATTTGTCATGAATGACAATGTAAATGCTTTTTGGCAATGTTTCTATTAAATTCTCTCAATTCTTTGGCTAGGTATACATCTGACAGCAGGATTCTGCCATTTCTTGTTGACCATCTATTTCATATTGTTGGAGACAAAGCCAAAGCAATGTCTTGGAGTGTTGTAGTACATTGTAAATTTTTTATGATGTTTTAAAAGTTAGTTAAATTGGCTGTCAGTTTGTCACCACCTGATGTTTGTTTAATTGATTGACACGAGGGAAATTTCAGCTTGCAACTTCACAAAACTGAGATGGACTTTCCCTCACCATGTGCATATATTAAATGCTTATTGGTACGTACTGACTGTTGCACACACATACATACAACAGCCAAAAAGCTGAAGCCAATATTTTGTCAACTTACAAATCCAGTGTGTGTTTTCTAAAATGAAAATATATCATCCAGAACAACACTTTCAGAGCAAAGAAACACAGCAGTATCAAATAATCACAATGGGGTATTTAATCTAGATCAAGTTAAAATAGCAATATGAAAAATACTATAATCATATACTGTACCTTTTACTGATACCAGGCTAAAAATATGCCTTTTTTTGGACATGTTCTGCACCCTTCATTTTCAAAACCAGGTGATTGTTCTCTATTAATTCTAAAATATATCCTATTGGTAAAATTCATAAAACTTTTTTCCTACACTCTTGTTAAAAATTATTGTTCTGTTAACTGTTAAGCCATTCTTAGGATGACAATGTGTCATTCCTAAGACTTCCAATGGTGATCTAGCCTCTCTATCCAAGAGTATAGCCATCAGAAGCAAAATGCTTAAATTCTAATTATTCATGGCTCATGTTGTTTTTGACTGAGTACCATAGCTGAAAGAAAGCAGGGAGAAGCTGATTAGTTGGATAAGATATGCTTTCACAGGCTCTTCAATAGTAGCTGTAAGAAGAGAAGCACTTAATTTCTAACCTTTTTCCTGGAGAATGTCCAACGCAATGGGAACTCTGAAGCATTCTTACAAAAGCAGATCACTGTCCATCACTAGTGTCAATTTTTTCTGTGTTGGAGGAAGATTGTGAATCATCTTAAGTGTATATTATTTTGTTTTCCATCATTTTAACTTCAATTCTAAAAAAATATAACCAGAACTATTTGAAGCAAATAATGAAACAGAGTATTTATAAGCACAGTCAGATGAACAACTTTGTAATAATCTTATATGTAAAAATCTTGGAACTGTTGTGGCTATGCAGGTGATTGGGAGATAACTTTAAGTGCTGTATTCTTGAACCACCTACTTCAAGAAAAAATGTTGAATTACTGAAGTAATTACTATAGTGAAGGCAAGTGAGGGTGACTCAGATCTAGTAGACAAAAATAAAAGATTGATATAATATTTTAAATTCTAGCGGAGAGAAGAGCAAGAGGTAGCTTGACAGCATTCTTCAAAGACATAAATAGTTATCCAAAGATGAAACAGTAACTCTTTCTTCATTTCCATCATAGATGGAAATAGGAGAAACAGACTTGCAGGCAGAATGATTTTGTTTAGACATTAAGAATACCTTTCTTAAAGTAAGGATAATGTTGTGGAAAAGGATATCTGAGAGAAAAGTAGAGATTATATTAATGATATTTTTTACCAGCTACTTAAAAAATAAATCAAGAACAATATGGAGTTAAGCAGATCCTGGCCAGAAGTGTAGAACAGACTGGATGTCCCATTGTGAAATTCTTCTGAGTTCTATGATACATAAGTATGTTAACATATATTTCCTATTTCTCACCACTTTGATTACTCCTATGTCAGAGTGAATTCCTTCCATTGGGGAACAATGTAGATAATTTTATTTACAGAAGCAGCTCCTGAAGAGCTGGGTTTTTTGTTTTATTATTAAAGAAATGACGTTCCCAGAATGTGAAAGGAAATATTGTTTATTAAAATGTCCAAGAAATATTCAAGAATACGAAAATCCAGCATCTTAAATGCTTTACTTTGCTTTCATGAAATACATTAATTAGTTTATATTTATAAGGGCATTTATCTGCATTTATAAGTGCAGATTTAGATACATCGGTGTTTTTATGATTTGTGTAACTGTTGTTGAATGGACCACCAATTTCTCAGTTGACAGAAGGCATAGTTGACATATGGTAACTTCAGAAACTCTCTTACTACAAGCATATGTATTTTTTGGCAGGGCATTAAATTTGAATCTCTTGTCCCAGTAGGAAGATTTTATTTACTGGCATGGGGGGGGAGAAGTTACTGAACTTGGGTTTCCCCAGGAACAATTCCCTAGGAATTCAACTGAATTTCATCTCAACATCTGTGTGCTTCAGGCAAAAAAAATCTAAGCAATACTTTTCAGAAAAGTTCTAGTCCCATTTTTTAGTCTGGACACAATCAATACTGAATTAAAAGGAAAAACATTATGCCAGTATTGATCTTTCTCAAAGCTGCTGTTTCTGATGTTTAAAATGTACAGCAGTACTTGTGTTGAAGCCTCCTTTTGAATCTGTTTTGAAGAAGGTCCATTAGCATGACTATACAATTAAATAAAACAAAAAGGTTACGCGCCATTGATATTGATTTTTATCGTTCTTCTGCTCTGCTTAAAAAAGAAATGCAGGTAGAGTGGTGCAGATTGTCCTGGAACAATATGTAAGTTTCATGGAAGCATCCTGAAGTACTTTTTTTTTTTAAGCAAAATATTGTTGTAATGCTTGGGAGTGTTTTCGATTCTCTCAGCTTTGTTCTGCAGTGCCTGAGCCCATATAACAATGTAAATGTCAAGAAGCTGCTATTGTGCACTGTCAGAGTTCTGTTGCAGAAAGCCTGTGTATTGTAATACTTTCTTTTTTTTCTCCATATGAATGGTAGAACTTGGTAGTTTCGTCGGTAAGTGTGACAGGAATAAAACAAGGGAAAACACATATTCCAAAACAGCTTAGAAAATAAAGTACAATTGATATTATTATTAGAATCTATCCTCACATAACTGCAGATAATGGATTTTAAGTAGGTTACATCAACAACTTTTGAAACTCGTTTAAACACAGCTTCCAACTATTTAAGCTTTATTGGGCAAATTGGTGTCATATATAGTTTGCAAAAATTTATAGAGAGACGAAGCTTTCTTATGAAGCCACATAGGCTCAAAGTTCCTCCAGGCACTAGGCTTCTGAACATTCGTGGCTTCACTACTACAATTCCTCAGCCAGAAACATATCTCCTCGTGAAGTTACCTATTACAGTCACTAAACAGGAAAAATCTTGCTTTGACTCTACTAATGTTTTCCCATCTACAATTTACTTAGACTCCAAGTATGTGTATGTATTAATGCATGAGAGAATAATTAAATGTAGTCCCATAGGCGAATTACATCCTTCCCAGTTAGGTGTTCAGAGGTCAGAATGAAATATCACACAAGATAGAAATCTAAGGTGAACTGACTTGCCAGATAAATTCCCCTTATTTTTAAAAAGTACCAGTGTCTGCATATTCACAAGCAAATCAAAAGTTGTTACCACACTGGAATTCTTACATTGTACTTTTTTCAGACAGTTGAAGTAAACTTACTGCTCTGCTCTAGCAGAGCACATTGGCACGTGTTTAAGTGTAAGTACACTGTAAAACACCTACATTCAAGGGACATTGAAAGCTGAGCTTAAATGAGGCATGAAGATTCTCTCAAAAGATGGTTCTTTATGTTTCCTAATATTTTAGAGTGTTCAGTGTTGATCTCTAGTCAATAAAAATTCTTGTTGTTCCATCATATTTAATGCTCTTGAAAATCTGCTTATAAGATTTATATTTATCTTTTTACTAAGTTCTGAAAAAAAATTATCTCTGATTTAAGTTATTTATTTAGAGAAATACCTCAAATAATTACATATGATAAGTATTTGTCAATGTTTAATTTTCTAAATGAATGAATGAGGAATTCTTCTATTTTATGCTAGCAGTGTTTTGGGAGTTTGAGCAGCATTGGAGATTCACCTTTCATTTCAATGCTCAGCCTTGTACATTATACACTGTGATATAGTGAGGAGTGTTTTGTGTACTCTCTGCCATTTTCCTGCTAAGATGTTCTGTTACTAAAACTTCTGGGTTTTGTTTGTTTGTTTTTTATTTGCTCCAGGCTACATATCCAAACAGAATGGTGAGCCAAAATCTCAGCACAAGGGACAGAAAGTCAGCACATATTCCCACCGAGGACCCTTTTAGATACTCAAACAGCCAAGCAACGGCCTATGAAAGCAAGAGCTGTCAACTGTCTAATTTGTGTCTGAGCAACCTCCTGAAAGAGAAGGAGATAGTGGAAGTCATCAAACATACTAGAGGAGCCTATGAAGCCCTCACTTCGGAGGCCACCCAGAATGGTTTGGCCACCACGGCACCTAAAACAGCAAAGCCTGCATCTCAGACAGACCGCTACCCACCGTTCTCAGGAGCTCCAAAAGACCATACTGCTGTACCTCAGCAGCACACCACTTTCACAGGCAGACTTGGACAGCCTCCAAGGGGACCCATCTCTTTACATATGTACAGCAGGAAAAATGTTTTCCTTCACCACAATTTACACACAACAGAGCTGCAGACTTTAGGTCAACAAGATGGGTAGCAAGGTTCTTGTCTTCTTGCCATAGAGTGTGAGTTCACTGCAAGGAAACATAAGCTCACACAGAGCTGAATAATAAGTTTTTACCTACTGCTACCTTTTCTTGAAAAAAAAAAAATTAAAAATTAATGTTCTCTAGGTTTCATACTTTCCCATCTGGAACTGTAGGAAAAGGGTAAACTAGATTGCTACATAACTAGGTTGATTTGTCACACAAAAGTCGCTATGGTAGAATAAAAAGGACTGTTGGGCTGGCATTGCTGGTCCAAAGTTGGCTGTCTTTTTTTTCTTCTGTTTCTATAAAGCCGCTAACATCCCCTGAAGTTCTAGAAAGTGGTCTTAAATAATAGTGTATGCTTAATAATGTTACTGTTAAAGTAGATGTGAGGAATGAATAGATAAATAATTTGTAAACCCTATTGAATTACATAGAGAGTAAAGAAATAAAGAGTAAGAAGTCTCTGAACCTCTTAAACCCACAGTAAAATTTGCTCATTTGTAGATGTGTGTTACCACTTCTTGCTGTACATGTTTAATCAAGGCCTCATGCCACAATTAGAGGAAGTGACATTTGTTCATCTACAAGAAAGATCACAGAGGCTCACTGGGTAATTGAATCAGAATAATTGGAACAGAAAGTAATGATGACAACTTGATTTCTCAACCTTCTTTTTCCTCTCCCTACCTTTTTTTAGCTACATTTGTTCTGGTCTTTTTGTTCTGCGAGCACACATCACATTGAGGTGATGGTTGTTCTCTGCAGACGCTATATCGCTCATGACACAATGTCACAGTCTATGTTACCAGGGCTGCTCCGAAAGTAATGCTTCCTGTTTTATTATGTTAGCATGTGGTATCGGAAGTGGATGTTAGTGGTATGATAGAGGTTGATCCTTTCCAACAGTATTCCATTACATTTTGTTGCCATGCAACAGATGGCAGCAGAAGAGCAATCTGAAAAAATGGTGTCTGATGGAAGTATACACAAAGCAAAGGTGTATGAATTCCTTCATGTGGAAAAAAGGCACCCACTGACATTTATCGATCCTCACTGAGCAGTTATGGAGACAAAACAGTGCATGTGAGCACAATGAGGTTATGAGTGATGTGCTTCAGCAGTAGTGATGGCAACAGTGGTTTACCCCTGCTGGTGCAGATGTTTAGGAGCATTGCATGCAGGCTCTTGTTCATCACTGGTAAAAGATGTATAGCTAAGGGTTGAAAACTAGTATTGTGTAGCTGAGAATTTGCTCTATCGAATAGTGTTATTGTGCTCTTTGTATCTATTGTAGTTTCCATGGAGATAAAAAGCATTCCTTTCAGAGCAGCCTCTATATAATGGATTGTATAACTTCATTTCACTTGCTGAATTAAAAAAAAAAAAAAAAAAAAAAAAAAAAAGTGAAAGATTATATTAAGTGAAATTATCATATTACTGAGTCTAAACTATCTGTGTAAATCGTAATTTCTGTGGACCATATCTGCACTTCATGGCGTATAGTAACTCAGTAGGTTTGCTAGTCTTGACATGTTAAATGCAAGTGAGATGAAGCAAATACTACCTGACATGCAGCTTGCCGATCTCATGGGAATGTGAATTCATTTGATCATGCTACAGAACCCAAAGGCTTGTCAGCACCAGAAGAACTGGTTCTCCCCTTTTATAGGGCTTGAAAACAAGTATCATGGACAGGATGCTGTAAACATGTGGTACATACTGAACATGACAGTTTGCAACTTCTCTTATGGCAGCTAATCTGTTTGAATGATATTAGGATGTATAGTTAGTAGTTTATAAATAATCTGGATGTTTAAATATGACTGAGGCAGATCTGAGACAAGTCACACCTCTGTTTAACTGGTGATAGATAATGAAAGGCAAGGGAATAGCACATTCTCACACAAAGAAACAAACTAGTGTGACAACTAAAGTAGCAAACGATGCAAAAAGATTTTGTAACTTCTAGTAACTTTTAAAGGTAAGTGACACAGGGCATATAAAAGGAATTAATGAGACAAATCCTACCTAATGTTAAACATATCTCCTAAACTACTTAATATTTAGATGAAGGCAAGGGTTGGATACGTTAACAATTAGATTATGAGCTTGACAGATATTCTGCGAAGTTCAGCAGCCTAACCTTTCAGAATTCTATTTCTTGAGGGTTTTAATTAGAGCAGAGGAAATTGAATAATGTTATCTGATGTTGAAAAGACCCAGTTTTGTCTAAGTATGTTATGATGATAATTTTGAGTGTCCTGAGCTGGATACATAAGGATCAGTATAAGCATTTGCCAAACGTTTTTTGTGATTTTATACATTTATGTGTATATTGCCATTGCCAAAATAGAAAAAAAAATTGCAAACACAGCTTGACCGAATTAACTATGGGTTTTAAAGACTCATAGGCCAGCACTGAAACTGATAGTTTAAACTCTACCAAAAAGAAATAGTAATGACAGAATTTCACTATTAAGACTTATCTTTTTCTCTGAGCAGTCTCTTACAGTCATGGTAGATTGAAAGCACAGTTAGTTATTGATAACAATATATTTCAGTCTTGCTAATCTCAAGAATTGATGTATGCAATTATATTTCAGATCTGTACATAAATTAACATATATTGCAATCAAGGGTATTTTTTCCAGGACACAGATATGCAACAACTACATTTAAAAACAAAATAATAATAAAAAAGAACAAAACAAAACAGCAATTAAAAAACAAAAAAACAAAAAAACAAAAAAAAACCCCACCTCTTTAATTCTAACTTTATACTGTATCTGTAGTTGTTTTTTTTCCTGGAAAAATAGACTTTTGGATTACATTTTATTAAATAAATCCATCTACATATTAAAAAGAAAAATAAGAAAAAAAAGAAAAAGAAAAATACATTTTAAATGCTACTATTTTCTTGGAAAATCTTTTATAAAGCTGAATCTTTAAAAAAAAAAAAAAAACAGTTCAATTAAAGTGAGGAATATTTTTAAAATGTCATCTTGAAACTGTTTTGTATCAGTATTTTCAGCACTGTTATTTGTAATACTAAATGTAAATCTCACCCAGAGGAGGATATTAGCCACATGTTAATATACAGTATGGCAGTAACTGTAAGACAGAGGTCTTTTGTTTGATCCTCTTGTGTACATACTAAATCATAAAGCAATGGCATGTGGACATTCTTTCAGTAAATTGATTCCTTTGTATTAAAAATCTCTAGTTTTTTAAGAGTTTTATGTATAGAATGATTTATACATTTCTCCAAGGCTGTACATATCCAAAGACATGACACCAGGGGAAAAGACATTATTTTTGCCACAGAAGTACCTTTTTTTTTTTTTTTTTTTTTTTTTTTAATTAAAGTTCCTGTACATGAAGCATAACTGTAAAATTTATACTGAAATTTTTCTTCTTGTTACTTTCATATTTTATGGTGTTATAGAGAGCATTTTAAGAAGGAGGAAATCCCTAAAGAAAAGCTGCTTCCGTTTGAATCAGTATCCCATTTTTTGAAGCAGCCACTTGGCACAAGAAACATTATATGTGCCCTAAATACTTTTTAATGATACACATTGTATGGGAACTGCTGAATCACAGCCTGAACCTCTGATTGACCACCCGAGGCGAGCAGTGAGTCAGCTATGGGAGCACAGGTGAAGGCAATTCACCTGTGCTACTGAAAGGGGTGGAGCTTTGCTCCACTTCTCCTAGACCCCATTTAAGAGCTGACTACGACAGGGGAAGGATCTCTTTTGGAGACCTTGATTTTGATATTAAATTTTAGAGTTTTCTCAGCAAGTCCAGGATAAGGGTAAGTTTTCCATCCGTTCTTCTTTAGCACGATAGCCTGTTTAGCCTAACTTTCTTGTGTATTTTTTTAATTATAACATCCTTGTATTCATTCATTATACACATGTGAAGTGGTGTATTGTCTTCATTATGATCCTTACTTCCCTAGAGTAATTATATTCTACAATATACATTTTATGCAATCACAGGATGGCTTGGACTGGAAGGGACCTTAAAGCCCACCTAGTTCCAACCTCCTTGCTACGGACAGGGTTGTCATCCATGGGATCAGGCTGCCTAGAGCCTTATCCAACCTGGTTGCTGAGAAGTATGCAATAATATACTAGGACCAATCTTAATTATAAATTATTAAGATGGAAGGAAAGCACCCATCCAGCACAGTTCTTTGGTTTTCAAAACACTGGAAGAGTTGTTTTTTGTTTTGTTGTTTTTGTTTGTTTGTTTTATTTCTGTATTACTTGTGTGTGTGTGGATTAAGTAGAAACGGGAATTCTATACTGGAAGGAAAAGTCTTTCCACAAAATCCCTCCATGTTTAGGGAATTTGGTAGCATCAGAAAGCATTCCTAGGATGAATTTTTGCTCCTATATACAAAACGAACCAGATAGTGAAGGTTCTTTTTTTTAAAACCCAAGCATTTTAGTTAATTGCTTTTACTTCCAGAATACACACAGATATGCCAAATGGGCTTTTCTTATATGTCTTTCTTTCTGATAGCTTTGATATTAAGTTTTTCCTGACTAAGATTTTTGCATATTTGGAGCATTTGAAAGCTTACCTTGGCTTTTCAGGTTTGTCACGCAAGTGCATTCTAGTCGCTACCTAAAAATTGGTGACATCGTCTTTCCCAAAAGCTAGCGATTTCTGACTGCTCTTATGGCGTGACTGTTATGTCTTCACTGGTTTGATCAGCACACCATTGACTTCAATTAAGTCACACTGAGTGCGTCACCTGATAACTGGGATTGTGGCCCTTCATGCACAAACTGTCTCAAGCTATGTGGAAAAGGTGATCTCAAAAATTTGATCCAACAGAAACACCAACTCACAATCTAGGAAAAAATTAATCTTTTTTTCTTTCTTTATAGTAGTATTCAGAAATAAAATAACAGAATACCATCAACAAAACAACCATAGCAGCAACAAAAACACCAAAAAGCTTCTTATACAATTCCAAAGATCATAAATGAAATCCCCTCATACAGTAGAATAACGGTAACTTCTAGCAAAACTTTGAAATAAATCTGAAAATCCACTGCAGTCTTCTTATGAAATTATGGAGTGACTGGAAAAATGAGGATCTGTATCTGAGTGCATTAATGAAATATTTCACAGCCTCTTTTTTTTCAAAGTCTACTGATGATTATTTATTTATTTATTTACTTATTTTCTGAAGGAACGCTTGCAGTTTGATGCTTATGCCAGATAAAATATAGAATACAGTTTGAATGTACTGAGGAAAGTGATGGGGGCTTCTCTCATCTTGGAGGAATGTATAGTGTTCTCTCTAGGACTCATTTTAATCTTCTGCTGTCAGCAAGAACTTGGCAGAAGCCTCTCAGGAAAAGAGCATTCTCAAATCATATGGGCCATAGCTGCCTTTATATTCACTTTCCTTTAGCATGTTCTACATAAGGCACTCCTAACATCATTTGGAAATTTCAAGAAGCTGCAAAATGTGTTTCACTGGGATTTAGCCAATCAAGTCAAAGATTAAAATGTCATGCGCTGCTTTAAACCTAGTAAACTCTAGTTGTTTGTATCATGCTTCCTCGCAAATTTTTTTGTCCAAGTTTTGAGAACATCTACACTGTGATGCTCATGATGCTAACTTCTTACAGTATAAGAGACACTGGAAATCTGTCCTCTGAGGGGCTCAAGATTTGCAGTTTATTTCCTAGGGCAACTGTGTGAACTTCAAGGATTTTCTATTGTTGCAAAAGTAATGGTAAGGGAACTTATTTATTACCTATTTTAGAAATATTTGATGGTTGTGGGTTTTTTTTTTTTTTTTTTTGTTTTGGTTGGAATATACTTAAAATATTATTGGGGAAAAAAAATTCTGTAACTTATTAGCATCAATTTCCTGTAAGTTCTTAGTAGCCGTGGTTGTCACTTGCATTTTGTAGCGCTGCTAAATATTTTTGGATGTGCCATTTTTGTTGCCTTCATTACCAACAAATCTTACTGTTTTTATTGTTTTTGCCCTCAGTCCTGTGTTAAAGATACAGAGGACTGTCGAGGATTTCTACGCAGGTAATACTGCCTATATAAAGTAGAGGAAGAATAAACTTACTTGAAGGTCTCTATGTGATCCCTGGAGATTGAAAATCTATTCAGTTTGATCTGAACTAGGCAACATTCGAGAGACCCTGATGGATGTGACAAGTGTCACCATCTGTTGGTTTCCGAAATCTTTATAGACACGACAGTGAATAAAATATACCACAAATAAAGGCTTTTGTTGTGTACGAATAATGTTGCCTTATATTTTGTATTTTGACCCTTGCTGTGCCTCTCTTTCTGAAATATTTTGTATAGATACATGCATAGGCTGACTATGCAGACAGGCTACGCAACATCACCATTTCTGCTTTAAGAAGGCTCCTCTGGATTCTCTTAATATCTGTTCACTAAAATGTTTAAACTATCCAGAAAGAATCTCAAGCACCTATGTAGACAAATATATTACATGATTTGATCCCATTTTCATCACACTGGAAAAGCCCTAGTAGCGTAAGTATAACGTATATGGATAACAACAGTATTAGTGGAATTAAAATTTATTTTTATTTTTACATTATGTCAGTGCACTTTATATGAGGGCTTAATGGGAATTACGAACTAGCTTGCATTAATTTTCTTAACAAAACTTGACTTAAACAGGGTTCAGAATTTTCTGCTTAACTTTAAGCATGTAAGCAATCTCCTAAAGGTAAAAATGAAAAAATGAAATCTGATTCTTTGGAAAGATAACAAACAAATAATATATTTTCTAACATAAACAATTTCATTCTTATTTATTGTTTGAAAGGTATGATATATAAAAAGTGTATTTTGTTTTGTATAAATACTCTTCAAGGCTCACAGATAAGTAGAAAAGATAAGAAACAGTCTTCCTGCTTCAGTCCAACTATAACATTGTGCTTTGTTTTCCAAATCATTAATTTTTTTTTCAGTAATCTGTCTGTTTCTTTCTCTTGGCTAAGAGTTTGAAAAGAGATAATAAAAGGACTTTGTATATATTCCGCACGTTGCATGTAGAGATAATCAATGTTACATGAAGAATATAAGAAATCAGAATTCTTAGTGATGCGTCTGATGTTTAAGCAAGATGCTCAACAGTATATAAAATCCATGTAAGTGGATGTTTTGTAACTGGTAAAAAATCTAGTGAAAGGTATAAGGTAGCAGGTTGATAGCTGTTTTTCCTTATATATCTGTTTTCTTTGAGTTATGTTAAAGTAATATTTGTAAAATAAACCTCTTGGAGTACAGAAAAATGATTGCTCAACACCACCAAGTATGGATAAGGGTAATTCCATGTACAAGAAAATTTACGTATTTTTATTACCATAGTATTATGTTTGCTTGAAGTATAAGCAGAACAGCACCAACACATTTTAACAAAGAAAAGAATCAGAAGGAAAGAGTGTATTTATCTAAAACACCTTGCGCATCATGTAGTCCTTTTTAACTTTCCAAAATAGGTTTATATAACAGTACTTCATGAGGACATAGTAGTGCCATTATGCTAGGTATCTATGTTCTCTAAATAACAAGGTAACATTGAAGGTGGCCATGATCCAGATCGTGTATCGAGATCTACATCTACTTTAAAGGTCACTTGTTTTTTTGCTGGTTTCTTTTGTTTCTTTTTCACTTTCCAATGGATGGCCATAATTATTTTGAGAAAATTTTACACAGCTATCTCCATAAACAGTGTGGCCTATGCGAAATTCAAACTGATATGGTGAGATTATATGGTTTTGAAAATTATACCTATTCTTTAATTCTAAAAAAGGTCAGTAGAGTGCTTTAGGCATTTTTTAATTATTATTATTTTTATTCTATTGAACTACAGAGAATTCTGCTTTGTTTATTAGCCTTAGAAATTTTATATGAGCCTTTTCTTATAGTCTGACTTTCTTGCTGTTGAGAATGACAAATTGTTAGAACTAGTTGCCAATATAAAATTTGAAGGACTAATTATATTTGTATTATATTATACTAAACATTCATTTAGTTTCAACAACACTGCAGCAATGTTGTAAACAGTTTCTTAAATGTAATTCAAAAAAACAATGTATATTATATGAATTAAGGGCTTTAAAAAGTTACAATGATGATAACTGGAGAAAAATATTCACATAAATATTAAGAATCAAGTATAAATAAATACATCTTGGAGAATATGGAAAAAAAATGTCAGTTCTATATGAGGCAATGGAGACATTTTGCTGTTCACGATTTCACGCTGATGATTCAGAATATAACTTAAATTTTAGAAGAAGGAAATTCTAATTACTTAAAAAGGTATTTTAAGATCAAGTTGGGGTCACATATACAGTAGTGAAGGTATCTGATCCCCCAGTAATTCATTTTCAGTTAAGTTCAGAGAAAAACTTGTATCTAAGGTCTAATTGGACAGGTTCATTGGTGATTTTTAGTGTTTACCCTACAAAGCCAAGAATTAGTTAAATCCCAATTTTCATTTAAGAGATAAATATTACTATAATATTTAAAAACTTGAGGAATAACACTGTCTAGCATCTGATTTATCACCATATTCTCTGATTTTTTTTTTTCCTCATTTGTATTGTTTTAATAGTTTATGTTACTCACGTGCAATAAGAACCTGATTGTTTCAAATTTTACCTTTGTGCACTGACTTAAAAAACAAAAACAAAAACAAAACAAAAAAAAAAAAAACAAAAAAAAAAAAAAACAAAAAAACAACCACAACCAACAAACCAAAAAATAAAACCACACCAAACAACAACACAGCCTTTGGAAGCAAACACTTTTGTCTCTGAAGAATATCAAGCAGCATTCTTTTGTGTTTTTTTAATCGGATTACTGAGGATGTAATTGCTGTGAGTTACTTTGAAGAGTTATTGCACTTCATTAAACAATCCTACAAGATTGTATTCATATTATTTAATGGACATTTATTTGTTCTTATTTCTAGTTGACATCATTTTTACTTTTACGTTTTATGACAAAAAATGTATATTTTTTGAATATTTATGTGAACTTTTAATTTTAGATGTTATTGTAGAACTGTACATCAGTATTTCCATTCCTGAAGTTAATATAAAGGGCTCTTACACTTTTATTTCCCTTAAAAAAAAAAAAAAAAAAAAAAAAAAAAAATTAGTTAATAAAAATCCTGTGTTATTCTATGACGATCTTGTGTTGTTTTTCTTTGAAGTATCTTAAATTTATTTGGCTTTTCTTGGTAGTTATATTGGTGAAATACATACTGAAATTTAATAAATGCGAACACTTCAGAATCTTTATGCTATGAAAAATCTCTTAATAAGACATATAGGCTTTTTTTCCTAATCTCTTTAATGTGCTGATGAGAATTGTAGGTTTAAGCTATTTGCTACTGTGCTATCAGACAGTCACAGACCTTTTTGCACTATTTCCTGAGTATTGAAGTAGTTTTGCATCAACAACTGTTCTGTTCCCTGCACTGCTTCCCATTTGTTCTTAGCATAAAAATAGTAATTTCCATAATAAAACAAGGTCTGACTTTATCTTTTATTTGTACAACTTCTTCCTCTCCTATATTCTATATATTTGCTTATTATCCCTAGCAGTATTTTAAGAAAACTTGTTCCACAATACTCCTCTACTTTGCTTCATCTTCCTTGAAGTGTATCTAAATGAACATCTTAGCTTTCAAAGGCCATAATTGTTAGTATTTTTATTCAAATACAGAAATAAATAAGCAAATTTTTACATTTGTAAGGCTATAAAGTATGTCATCATTGTGTTCTATTAATAAAAGTAGTATGAGAAGTATAACGATTGCTGACAATCTTGTCAACAGCAAACATGCTACTTCAGCTTATTCCTGATGTGAAGAATTCTTCTGGGCTGTATTCTTAGTCCAGCAGGTTTATTTACACCACCAGCAACAAGCCATTTTCAGTCTCAGCCGCAGATTGGCCTCCATTTCTGCATCCAGAAAATATTGAAGCTCATTTCACAGTACTTACATGTCTACTACTCTCTTATTGATAACATTAAAAATGTGTCTCCTACTCTAAAGTTTTTTGTTACTTTTCCTTTACAATGTTCAATATCTTCTCCATTTTAGTGATGTATATACTCTTGCCTTCTAGCATTTGAGTGCCTTGCTGGAATATGAGGGAATATTTTGTTTACGTATATATATCATAAATATACTATGCAAGTGTATGTGTATCTTCAAAGGAAAAATAAAACTGAAATACATTATTAGTATATCAGAAGAAGAATATTTTCTAATTTTGATTGTTATACTATCCCATGTCTATACAGAACACTGATATTTTCCTATGAATTTAAACTGCAGTATTATTATTCTACTCAATGATAGTAAATTAAAATCAAATTAGATTGAAGTGATTTGAAATTTCCACAGGTTATACAGTTTTTAGGAGCCTCAGAAACTTCCTCAAGTGATAACACTTTTTTGAAACTTGTGAAGCTTGACTTGTTGTCAAGATGATGGATGTTTTAGCGTTTGTATGGTGACTGTCAAAAGTGCCTGAGAATTTCTCAGTGTTCACATGCTGCAAATGTTTCTTTATTTCTCTATAGATTGTCCTCATTTTTTTATGATACAATAGGTTGGGAATCTTTTCGCTATCACATCACTATCTCAAAAGTTACTATTACTTGGGCTGAAACAATATTCATCAAACAGCAAAGTAATTTATGCGTTGTTCGGCTACATAATGTGATGTTCAAATTAGAATTTTTGCAGATAGCCCAGAAGACACAAACTGAACAACACTCTGTATCTGCTATAAAGCACTGTTCTTGCAACAGTAATTTTTTTCCAGTAAACAGATTTACCTACTGAGAAGTTAAAGAGGAACAGGCAAGAACAGAGAAGGTATCAACAATCACAATGGCTCAGGTTGGAAGGCACTCAAAATGATGTCAACTAGGGATTCATTCTCACAACTGCATTCTCATATCATTTTGAATATTTTTGAGGATGGATATTCTCCAATCTCGCTGGGCAGTCCATGCCAGTGTTCAATCAACTTTACAGTTAAAAGGTTTTTTTCTTACATTTATGCAGAATTCTTTGTGTTTCAGTTTGTGCCTATTGCCTCTTGTTTTGTAATAGGTACCATGGGAAAGAGACTTGCTCCATCATCATTTCTCCACCATGACGTATTGATACACTTTGATTTCCCTGTAGTCCTGTCTTGTAGGTACTTATTTATTTGAATGCATGCGACATGGACCTTAGTCAGCATGTTTGCATTGATTACAAATTCTCACACGTTGACAGATATAACCACCTACTTTACTTGCTAGCCTGTGGGTGAAAAAATCAGTACAAAATTGAACCAGATGTGACATTTTTCATTGTTATACTGCAGTGACTTAATGTGATAAAAGTATCTTTCATACACTTTTCCATATCAACAGTATTGAGGATGAAGTATGAAAAATATAATTTAATTGCAATGAAAGCAGTTCTGATGATCTCCACTGCTAAGGATCTCAATTCACCATTCCAACTTTAAAATACTTTTCTAATTCTAATGGTATACCACTAGATGAGAGAACCATATTCATAAGAGCAACTTTTGTCAGACAGTTACTCTGCTTCTAACAGGCTTCTGTGTTCATTTTCGTCTCCTCTTGGAGACAAAAGAGATGTATTTTACTACAGCTGACATTTCAGAAAGCACAATTAAAAGCCACATTAACGGTTGTTA